CCACACTCTGTTCCATGCTTCCATGTCTCTGGATCCACTCTGTTCATCAGTTTATTTTGTTAATGAGATTCCACATATAAGTGAGATCATGGGATACTTGTCTCTCTCTGATTGCATTGTCCTATATTTAGTCACACGGGCACCCTTATCTGAAAGGAAGGCTGGGAAATTATTGTTTTCATCTGGGTACATAGCTACCTCCCAACAAAATAAGGTTTTGTTACTTAGAAATAACTGGGAGAAAGGGTATGTGATATTCAAACAACAATGTCTATCCTGCCCCACAACCCATTTTATCTGTTTCTTTACTAAGACTATTAATTCCTGGAAGGTTTAGCATATGTCACATTCATTTTGTATTTCCAGGGCCTAGAATAGTACAAGACACTCAACGATTTGCTGTTTATTTCCTTTGCCTGCAATATGAAGGGTTAATCTGTGTAATCTGCCTAGATAAAAAAGATTCCATGTTTTATCGCAATAATTTTCTGTGCTTTATGTTGACTTTATTATATCCTTAATTTAAAAAAACACACACAAAACTTCCTCACTTACCAAAGAGCAATGGTTCTTGATCATCACGTTACATTTTTATTTTTACATGTGTTGTTTCTTTCTGTAAATAGCGAGTTTCTCATCACCAACTGTCCTGTTTTAAGTGTTCAAATATCCTGAGAATTTTTTTTATTATTTTTCCATCCTAAGATTGAATCCACATGTAAAAGGAAATGATTTTCAGGATGTCTTTGGCACCTAAAGCTATTTTTGAGGTTTTCCAGAGGTCCTGGAGAGCCTTTTCCTTTCACCTTATAAAAAGAGAGGCACTAAACAGAACAGAATACCCAGAAATTGACCCAAACCATTATGTTCAATTAATATTTGACAAAGGAAGCAAGAGCATACAATGGAGTAAAGACAGTTTCTTCAATAAATGGTGTTGGGAAAATTAGACAGATACATGTAAAAAAATGAAACTAGACCACCAACTTACACCATACACAAAAATAAACTCAAAATGGATAAAGGACTTAAACGTAAGATGGGAAACCATAAAAATATTAGAGGAATCCACAGGCAGCAAAATCTCAGACATCTCTTGTAGCAATATGTTTACCGATACATTTCCTAGGACCTAGGACAGTGATGGCAAACCTATGACACGCGTGTCAGAGGTGACACGTGAACTCATTTTTTTGGTTGATTTTTCTCTGTTAAATGGCATTTAAATATATAAAATAAATATCAAAAATATAAGTTTTTGTTTTAGGTTGCAAATATCAAAAAATTTCTATATGTGACATGGCACCAGAGTTAAGTTAGGGTTTTTCAAAATGCTGACACGCCGAGCTCAAAAGGTTCACCATCACTGACCTAGAACAATGGAAACTAAAGAGAAAATAAATAAATAGGACTACATGAAAATAAAAATCTGCACAGCAAAAGAAACCATCAACAAAATAACAAGAGAATCCACTGCATGGGAGAACATATTTGCCAATAATACATCCAATAAGGGGTTAATTTCCAGAATATATAGGGAACTTGTACAACTTAAAAGGAAGATAAACAATCCAATTAAAAATGGACAAAGGACCTAAATAGACACTTCTCCAAAGTGGACATAAAGAGGCCAAGAGGCATATGAAAAAATGCTCAAAGTCACTAATCACTCAAGAGATACAAATCAAAACGACAATGAGATACTACCTCACACCTGTCAGACTGGCTATCAGTAACAAATCAACAAATGACAAGTGTTAGTGGATGTGGAGAAGAGGGAACCCTAGTACACTGCTGGTGGGAATGCAGACTGGTGCAGCCTTTGTGGAAAACAGTATGAAGTTTCCTCAAAAAATTAAAAATGGAACTGCCATTTGACCCAGTGATCCCACTTCTAGGAATATATCCTAAGAAATCAGAAACACCAATCAGAAATTATATATGCACCCCTATGTTCATAGCAGTGCAATTTACAATAGCTATGATTTGGAAATAGCCTAAGTGCCCATTAGCAGATGAGTGGATAAAAAAGCTGTTGTACATTTACACAACAGAATACTTCACAGATGTAAAAACAAAAGAACTCTTACCATTCGCAACAGCATGGATGGACCTGGAGAGCAGTATGCTAAGCGAAATAAGCCAGTTAGAGAAAGATAAGTATCACATGATCTCACTTATACGTGGAATATAATGAACAACACAAACTGATGAACAAAAATAGATCCAGAGACATAGAAGCATCAAACACAGTCGAATCTCAGCGGGAAGGCAGGGGAGGATGGGTGGGTGGGAAGAGATCAACCAATGAACTTGTATGCATATATGAATAACCCATGGTGAAGACCTGGGGAGGTCAATGGGGGAAAAAGAGGACATATGTAGTACTTTCAACAATAAAGATTAAAAAAGAGAGATACTAGAAACTGTGTTTATTCTGTTAGGTTGATGATTTGCATGGGAAGCTGTCTGATCAGAAGAAATGATCGGCCTTCCCAAGATTAAGTATATCTGATGATTTATTGAGAGATTATGTGTGCCCTTACTGTAAATGGATGGCCTCTGGCGCCATTTCAAACGCCAACAAGAATCCCCAATTTGGGGTGTGGTGGGGAAGGAAACTTGATTTAGTGTGAACAGCTTGACAGTAACATAGCATGGCTGTGAAACAGCACTGCAGTAGAATTCCTCCATAACGTTACAGCGTGGCTGCTGTGAAAACAGCATGGCCTCTAAAGCTAGACAGCTCTGCTCCAGGTGGGTGTGAGCCGGGAAGAAGTCTGTAGCGCTTCAGCAACTCAATCACAATCTTCAGTTTTCAGAGGAAAGCACTCTAGGATCATGAGGAGAACGGGCTTATATAGACAGAAGTCCCCACCTCTGGTTCCCTGATTGGTCAAAATAGAGCTTCTCTGATTGGTCAAACTGCAAAGCTCTGATTGGATGGGGAAATCCACAGTCCTATTGGTTGAAATAGGATCCCAGGAACTCCTTTATAAGGACTAGCTCAGCCGGCAGAAAGAAAGTGCAGGCAGGAAGCTTAGTGGTGCACAGTCAGGCAGTGTAGCACAGAGCCTTCTCTGCGAAGTACAGTTTGAGTGGGAGGCCCCTGTGCAGAAATGGCTGCGAGGCTCTGCTTTTTAAAAAAAAAATCGTAGCCCAGATCACCATCAGGAGCCATTCTTAGATCTCAGGGTTCACATACTTTTATATGGAAATGTGCTTCTTTTTACAAAATAGATAATTTTGAAAATTGTGTTCAGTTGGCAAAATAAGAAATTGGAATCTTGTGTTTTCCTCTGAATATTTTTAAAAATGTATGCACCTAAGATCTGGAACCCCTTGTCTAGAATACAGATAAAAGGAAGAAAGAACAGTATGTGACACCTAGTAAATTGATTTGACTTTAACAAGTAAAGCGCCCTTTTTACCAGAGCATTGGCAGGAATACCTGTCTCCTTTGAGAGTCAGGGAAGACTTCACAGAGAAGGTAACGATTTAGCTGGGGCTTTAAGGATTAACAAGGAAGAAATGGCAGGGCATTCCAAGCAGAATACATAATGCAAGCCACAGCACAGAGCACAAAAGAGCTCTACGTGTTCAGCAGCTCTGAGTACCCTGGAGGCTGTTGCCTGTAATTCTCAGGGTTTGGTGAGAATATAGGCAGGGACGATTTTTCCCTGCTTAGCTCACTTTCCTTAAAGCGCATTGCACAGTGCTGGGCACACATCTGCAGGAGCTCAATAAATACTGTTGAATTGGGACAGGATGATCGAGTGTGCTGGGAACCAGGGTATCAGGATTCTTTCTCACACAACTACAGTGTTACCTTGGCCAAGTCCCTTTTCGAAGGCCTGTGCCTGCGGGTGCCAAGTGGAGGAGGGTGTTGGCCTGAACTGCTGGACCTTTTAGTGCCTGGAATCCCTGATTGGCCACAGGGAGGGCGGGGTGGGCAGTGCGGCTGCGGCTGCGACTGAGGCTGCGGCTGCGGTGCGGCTTGTGGAGGTTCAGTTT